GGTGAGAGCGCCAAATCCTAAACCACTTGACCATATGGAACGTTGGCGTATGAAGGCGTTTCTATTTATCGGCAATACACAAGTAGGGCATATAATCAGATACTTGTGACGTGACAAAAATTGAATGTCGTGTGTTATATATATTCTCTGTTATCAAGCCAACAAATACGAGAGGCCAATTTATATCTTTTAATTAAATTGTCTATGAGAATTTTGTACAAGCTGTGATGTTCAACTGACCAGGAATCTAAAACAGGTGTTCCCACACCGTGAATTGAACCCGGGCCTCGGCGGTGAGAGCGCCAAATCCTAACCACTTGACCATATGGAACGTTGGCGTATGAAGGCGTTTCCTATTTATCGGCAATACACAAGTAGGGCATATAATCAGATACTTGTGACGTGACAAAAATTGAATGTCGTGTGTCATATATATTCTCTTGTTATCAAGCCAACAAATACGAGAGGCCAATTTATATCTTTTAATTAGATTGTCTCTGAGAATTGTATACAAGCTGCGATGTTCAACTGACCAGGAATCTAAAACAGGTGTTCCCACACCGGGAATTGAACGCGGGCCTTGGCGGTGACATGAACTGAATGTCGAGTATTATATATTCTCTTGTAATCAAGCCAACAAATACGAGAGGCCAATTAATATCTTTGAATTAAACTGTCTATGAGAATGTTGTACAAGGTGCGATGTTCAACTGACCAAGAATCTAAAACAGGTGTTCCCACACCGGGAATTGAACCAGGGCCTTGGCGGTGAGAGCGCCAAATCCTAACCGCTATACCATATGGGACATTGTCGTATGAAGGCGTTTCCTATTTATCGGGAAAACACAAGTAAGGCATATAATAGGATACTTGTGATATGAACTGCACGTCGTGTATTATATTTTCTCTTCTGATAAGGCAACAAATGCGAGAGGACAATTTATATCTTTTAATTAAATTGTCTATGAGAATTTTATACAAGCTGCGATGTTCAACTGACCAGGAATCTAAAACAGGTGTTCCCACACCGGAAATTGAACCCTGGCCATGGCGGTGAAAGGGCCAAATCCTAACCACTAGACCATATGGGACGTTGACGTGTGAAGGCGTTTCCTATTTATCGGCAATACACAAGTAAGGCATATAATCGGATACTTGTTACGTGACATGAACTGAATGTCGAGTATTATATATTCTCTTGTGATCGAGCCAACAAATACGAGAGGCCAATTTATATCTTTTAATTAAATTATACTGGCAATTTTGTACAAGCTGCGATGTTCAACTGACCAGGAATCCAGAACAGGTGTTCCCACACCGGGAATGAATCCGGGCCTCGCTGTGAGAGCGCCAAATCCTAACCGCTAGACCATATGGGACATTGTCGTATGAAGGCGTTTTCTATTTATCGGGAAAACACAGGTAAGGCATATAATAGGATACTTGTGATATGAACTGCACGTCGTGTATTATATATTCTCTTCTGATAAGGCAACAAATACGAGAGGCCAATTTATATCTTTTAATTAAATTGTCTATGAGAATTTTATACAAGCTGCGATGTTCAACTGACCAGGAATCTAAAACAGGTGTTCCCACACCGGGAATTGAACCCGGTCCTTGGCGGTGAAAGCGCCAAATCCTAACCACTAGACCATATGGGACGTAGACATATGAAGGCGTTTCATATTTATCGGGAAAACACAAGTAAGGCATACAATCGGATTGATGTGATATGAACTGCACGTCGTGTATTATATATTCTCTTGTAATCAAGGCAACAAACACGAGAGGCCAATTTATATCTTTTAATTACTTTGTCTATGAGAATGTTGTACAAGCTGCGATGTTCAACTGACCAGGATTATAAAACAGGTGTTCCCACATCGGGAATTGAACCCGCGCCTTGGCGGTGAAAAGGCCAAATCCTAACCACTAGACCATATGGGACGTTGACGTATGAAGGCGTTTCCTATTTATCGGCAATACACAAGTAAGGCATATAATCAGATACCTGTGACGTGACAAAAACTGAATGCCTTGTGTTATATATATTCTCTTGTTATCAAGCCAAATCCTAACCACTAGACCATATGGGACGTTGACATATGAAGGCGTTTCATATTTATCGGAAAACTCAAGTAAGGCATACAATCGGATTCATGTGATATGAACTGCACGTCGTGTATTATATATTCTCTTGTAATCAAGCCAACAAACACGAGAGGCCAACAAATACTAGAGGCCAATTTATATCTTTTAATTAAATTGTCTATGAGAATTTGTACAAGCTGCGATGTTCAACTGACCAGGAAAATAAAACAGGTGTTCCCACACCGGGAATTGAACCCGGGCCTTGGCGGTGAAAGCGCCAAATCCTAACCACTAGACCATATGGGATATTGTTGTATGAAGGCGTTAGCTATTTTTCGGGAAAACACGGGTAAGGCATATAATAGGATAAGTGTGACATGAACTACTCGTCGTGTATTATATATTCTCTTGTAATACGGCAACAAATACGAGAGTCCAATTTATATCTTTTAATTAATTTGTCTATGAGAACTTTATACAAGCTGCGATGTTCAACTGCCCAGGAATATAAAACTGGTGTTCCCACACCGGGAATTGAACCCTGGCCATGGCGGTGAAAGGGCCAAATCCTAACCACTAGACCATATGGGACGTTGACGTGTGAAGACGTTTCCTATTTATCGGCAACACACAAGTAAGGCATATAATCGGATACTTGTTACGTGACATGAACTGAATGTCGAGTATTATATATTCTCTTGTAATCAAGCCAACAAATACGAGAGGCCAATTTATATCTTTTAATTAAATTATACTGGGAATTTTGTACAAGCTGCGATGTTCAACTGACCAGGAATCCAGAACAGGTGTTCCCACACCGGGAATGAACCCGGGCATTGCTGTGAGAGCGCCAAATCCTAACCGCTAGACCATATGGGACATTGTCGTATGAAGGCGTTTTCTATTTATCGGGAAAACACAAGTAAGGCATATAATAGGATACTTGTGATATGAACTGCACGTCGTGTATTATATATTCTCTTCTGATAAGGCAACAAATACGAGAGGCCAATTTATATCTTTTAATTAAATTGTCTATGAGAATTTTATACAAGCTGTGATATTCAACTGACCAGGAATCTAAAACAGGTGTTCCCTCGCCGGGAATTGAATCCAGGCCTTGGCGGTGAGAGCGCCAAATCCTAACCACTAGACCATATGGGATATAGTTGTATGAAGGCGTTAGCTATTTTTCGGGAAAACACAGGTAAGGCATATGATAGGATAAGTGTGACATGA